AACCGACTGCGCCACCCAGGCGCCCCTAAAATTCCTTATTTTAGAAGAATTTATGATTTGGGAACTTAAGAACTCTAGGATAAGATTACTTTAATCTATTTTTATTTTCTTGTTAAATTTCACTTTATGAAATGGCTTTCATGTTCCATAGAACCTTAAGGAATATAAATTTTTTTCTTTTAACATTAGATTGCCAGGGTTCATCCATATTATTGTTCAATACAGTCCATTCATTTTGACTATTCTGTGATAAAGTGGTTCCCCCCTCCCCCCCCACCTTATCCACAGTTTTGCTTTCCATGGTTTCAGTCATCTGTGGTCAACTGTGGTCCAGAAGTAGATGATCCTCCTCCTGATGTATAGTCAGAAGGTCAGTGTTAGCCAGACACCGCATCATAATGCCTATGTCAGTCACCTTACTGCATCTCCTCATGTAGAGATTTTATCATTTCACATCATCACAAGAAGGGTGAGTACAGTATAATAGATATTTTGAGAGAGACCACATTCATATAATTTTATTAGAGTATATTGTTCTAATTGTTCTATTTTATTATTAGTTGTTATTGTTAATCTCTTACTGAGTCTAATGTATAAATTACATTTTATCATAACTATGTCTGTATAGAAAAAAACATAGTCTACATAGGATTTGGTACTATCTGTAGGTTTAGGTATCCACTGGGAAGGGCCTTGGAAGTATACCCTCCCCCCCCCCAGATAAGGAAGTACTATTATGTCCTATGTTTATACCATATTTACTACTGTATTCTCTGTTTACACCTACCTTTTTTTTGAGACTTCAAAGACAGTTCTTTAACTACTTGGGATTGTTTTCCCCATACCTTCCAACGCTAGGCAACCATTTACCTATTTTCTGTCTTTATGAATTCGCCTGTTCTATACATTTAATATAAATGTAATTATATAATATGTTGTCTTTTGTGTCTGGTTTCTTTCACATAGCATGTTTTCAAGGCTCATCCCTTGCATGTGTCAGTACTTCATCCTTTTTATGGCTGAATAACAAATACCCTGTTGTATGGATATACCATGCTTAATTTATCTACACATTTGTTTCTGGACATCTAGGTCATTTCCACTTTTTGGCTATGGTTATTAATGTTGCTCTGAACATTCATGAAATGTTTCTGTGGACATATATTTCTCTTTCTCTTGGGCATATATAGCTAAGAGTGAAATTGCTGGGTTATACGTTTTATACCTTTAACAGTGTGGGGGACTTCCAGACTGTTTTTTAAAGTGGCTGCAGGGCGCCTGGGTGGCACAGTCAGTTAAGCGTCTGACTTCAGCTCAGGTCATGATTTTGTTGTTCATGAGTTCGAGTCCCACATAGTAGGGCTCTGTGCTGACAGCTCAGAGCCTGGAGCCTGCTTTGGATCTGTGTCTCCCTCTGTCTCTGCCCTGCTCACGCCCTGTCTCTCCCTCTTTCAAAAATAAATAAACATTAAAAATATTTTTTTAATAAAAAAATGAATAAACACAAGCTCAGCGTTTCCAAACTAATAAAAAACACCTTTGCACATAGGGATAGATCTTTCATAAACATTAAATGTTTGATAATGAATGCAAACCAACGGGAGCTAAACGACAAAGGACTGCTACCAGCCCTCTTCCCTCATGTAGATTATGACATTTAAAAAAAAAAAATCCTTTTCTGTGTTATCTTCTTTCAATGCCCAGTTCAGAATTTCTGAATTTGTATAGATTGTGACAAGGAGAACCCCAAATTATTATCACAGAAGAGTAACAGGAGGAAAGATGGAATTTAGCAATACCACATTTCTGAAATCTGTCTATGTGACATTCCTATAAAGTTTCTTTTGAGTGGCTTTAAGTGTTTTCTATTCCACCAAGTTACAATGCATAAGTACCTCTTCAAAGCTATCATTTTAACAAAGGAGGCACTCCACAAAGAATTAAATACAGAGGATAGAAAGAAAATGTGCAGAAGTGTTCTAAGAGAATAAAAACAAAAAACAATGAATTTGAAGGCTTGCTTTAGGGTTTCCTAAGCCAAGTTGTTGTTTTTTTAAATATATGTTTCAACCAAAATATATTGATAATTTAGTTATAAAGAAGACAGAGATTGTACCCATCACACACACCTCGTTATGTTCCTGAATGTGGCTCTTTCAGTCTTGATTGGGTACCTGCACCTCTTGGAGGGACACAGGAATTTTGATCACAAACCTCATCTATAGGATAAGAAATGTGGTTTGTTTCTCTTAGTATTAAAATATATGGGAAGCAGAGTGGTAACAATATTTATGATTGAACACAAAGTATGGCCAGTTGTCAGCCCTCTCCAGTGAATCTCCAAAGAAGGGAGGATGATTTAAATAGCTCTAAATGGACAGTATGCTGTTAGCTCAGAAATCAATTGCTGAAATCCACCACCATCAACCTAAAATCCCCAGTCCCAAGCTAAAGAATTTTCTATCTTCCTCAGTGACATCATACCACCCATGCCTGATTACATATATACAGAACTTTACTCTGCACTCATGTTCCTGAGTAGATTGAGATTACCTGTTTGTTTATGAATCACTTGGCCAGGAATGGTACTTAGGCTGAGAAATTGGTTTTATCAGAGGAAAAATATCTGGTCCTTATAAGAGCAGAGGTATCAAATTATTTTTTATTCATATTGGTATACCTCCATCAGAGGAGAAACACAGGTAAGAAAGCAGCTGGTTTCCTAGGGGCACCTGGGTGGCTCAGTCAGTTAAGCATCTTATTTCGGCTCAGGTCATGATCTCACAGTTCGTGGGTTTGAGGCCTTGCATTGGGCTCTGTGCTGACAGTTCAGAACCTGGAGTCTGCTTTGGATTCTGTGTCTCCCTCTCTCTCTGCCTGTACCTCACTTGTGCTCTCTCTCTCTCTCTCTCTCTCTCTCTCTCTCTCTCTGTCTCAAAAAAAAATAAATAAATGTTAAAGAAAAAAAAAGCAGCTGGTTTCCTGAACAGAAAAATAGGAAAATTCTTTCATAAGGTAAGTTGGATTTATCTTCTAGGCTCACAAGAAAACACAAATTTTCTACTTATGTGTTGAAGCACATAAAACAAGGTGTGTATTGGTTGGTTGAAGAAAATGTCATCTGATACTTGCAGGAAACCCCGTATTTCCTTTAGGAGAAATGGTTTGCTAATTCAGTGTTTGCAATAACTTTATAGAACTACTGTGAATAATGGGAATTGACTGTATTTTAAGCTCTGCAAGCCATTCAGTCTGCATAACTAGTCAATCCTGCCCTTGTAGCTTAAATGCAGCCATAGACAATGAATAAATGAACATGGCTATGTTCCAGTAAAACTATTTATAGACACTGAAGTTTGAAATGCATGATTTTTTACACATCACAAAATATTCTTCTTTTTACGATTTTTTTAAAACCATTTTAAAGATAGATATTATTCTTTACTCACTAGCCATATACGTGGCAGGCCAGATTTGTAATTTGTCAACCCCTGCTTTAGAATAACTACAATCTAAAATTTTATTTACTAGTTTTATTTTTAGTAATAATAATATTGGCATCACAATTTTAAACTATTTTATGGCCATTCTAGACTACTGCAACTATATAAATATGTTAATATTACTAGGAACCAGGATTTCTAGAGAGAGATTATTAGAGGAAAAAAACAAATATAAAAGGTAAGAATAAAACCTTGTAACATTACATTTGAATTAGTAATGTCAGCATGAATGAATGCTTTGAGTCTTAAGTTTCTTGCCTTCCTTTAACAAAGAGAAGAGTGTCTGATCTAGAACCCAAGATATTTGACTCCCTAATCCTGGGTTGTCTGCTCTAGCCATAGTGCTTCTCTTTTAGGTAGAGATGTTTTTTTCTTTTAACATTTATTTTTGAGAGAGATCAAGCATGAGCAGGGGAGGGGCAGAGAGAGAGAGAGGAAGAGACAGAGAATCCCAAGCAGGCTCAGCACTGTCAGCACAGAGCCCACTGTGGGGCTCCATCTCACAAACCAAGAGATCATGACATGCGTCAAGAGTCAGATGCTTAACTGAGCCACTCAGGGGCCCCAAGATGTTTTTTCTTAGTCTGGGCCTTCTTAAATCCTCCCAACAAAGTCCCCTTAACATTAAGAGGAACAGCCTATTCTGGAAATCTGGGGAAGGAGCAAATAAACTATTCCAGGACTGGATTTTCCTTTGAAATCTTATGTTTAAATCTATGTTTATTTACATTCTCCATAATAAACCTGTGATTAAATGTAAATACACAATTTTCCAGAAAAATCAGGTTTTTTTCACCAAATGCTTCAGTAAAGATGATGCTTCTTGAAAATGCAACATTCCTTTCTCATTTCAAAATTGAGGAGAGTTAGGCTTTTGGTCTCATCCAATCATTCCACATCGTCACAGTCCCGCAGGAACACACCAGAAGCGTGCGCGCGCGCGCGCACACACACACACACACACACACACACACACACACACGCCACAATCAGGCACACACTGAGGGACTCCCATCCAAGGTCTGCAGGGAAGGCCTGGGGAAAACGTATCTATCAGAACCGTGCCACCTAAATGTTCAGAGTCAATTACAGACACGTTCACAGACCCATTACCTCGCAGGCCAACACAACATTCTTAGTCCTGTACAGTCTGACACACAATCCAGTCAAATCTCCCTCACAAACCACATTCCGGTCCTCGCAGTAGCACTTCACAAACACAAACCAGCCACACCCAATGAGAAAGTCGTACCCAGAACCACTCCAAAGATAGACACACAGTTCCATCGAGTAGGCGGTAGGGAGAGTCACATTTATGCATATCCCCCCTTTAATACGCCGGTTGTTGGTGCCCGTCGCGCTCCAGGACCTGCCGGGACTTTCTTGGGACAAAGAGCCGGGAACGCCGCCCGCTCAGGAGCCCGCCTAGATCTCCGCCTCACGCGGCGAGCGGGCGGGGTGGAAGCTCCGCTCCCCTAGGCTGGCGGCGCCGGCGCACTCAGTGCCTACAGAGCGAGCTCCCAGCAGCCTCCGCGCGCGGCCCGTTAAGCCCCGGGGGCTGTGTACTTGCAGGTTCCGTCCCACCCTCGCTTACACTGAGCATCACCGTGAGGCAGGTGCGACACCCAAGGTGAGCAGTCCCGGTTCAGAGGGTCGGAAAGACGTTGCCGCCTGGCCTGGAGATTAGGAGACAGAAGGGAGGCGCTGCAGTACCGCAGAGTGTGGCGAGCCTCTCACCTCAGGCCCGAGTGTGCGTGAGAACGGCAGTGGTGTGTGTGGTTGTGTATCTGGGTGACCGTGGGCGTGACGGGGCCCGAGTGTGGCATCAGGACTGTGTGTGGCTGTGAGGTCGGAACTAGTGGGTGATGGCATTTGTGTGGCTGAATTGGATGCAGATCCTCTTGTGTGACGGAAGGTTGCGTGACCGTGGACTATGTGACTCCGACCCTGGTGTCGCAGCTGATCTTCTGCCCTCTAGCCGCACGTGCCCAGCGGCAGAGAAAAAGCTCCCTGACAGATAGCTGAGCGCCAGCGAAAAGGCTCATACCCGATCTTGGGATAAGAATGTTAGATAAGATAGAACGTGCTTCGCAGGGAGGTTCCTGGGGGTACCCCCACCCACTACATCTTCGGATGCGCGCGCGGACACACACACACACACACACACACACACACACACACACACACACACA